GGCCCCCCTCCGCATACCGTAACCGGTTGTATTTGTGCTGTGTGCATGCCCGGCCGCACGGTCCCCCTCCGCATACCGTAACCGGTTGTATTTGTGCTGTGTGCATGCCCGGCCGCACGGTCCCCCTCCGCATACCGTAACCGGTTGTATTTCTGCTGTGTGCATGCCCGGCCGACGGTCCCCCTCCGCATACCGTAACCGGTTGTATTTCTGCTGTGTGCATGCCCGGCCGCATGGTCCCCTCTATCCCTAGTAATGATGGCCAAAATGACGCTTCATGAACCATTTGCAGTGTTTTCTGACCATACTAGATGGTGCTCTCTGTTTAGAAAAGGGAAGAAAGCAAACCCTGAAGGACACCAAGGGAAGGGGTCAGAAAATGCAGTTCACACACACAAAAAAAATATGGACCCACCAAGGCTTCGTAAGATTACAGTAGGATTGGCACATAGTGTAACACACACACACACACACACACCTAATCCACACCTAATTCATCTAATCCAGCTAGTTCAAGTACCAGGAATAGTTTTGCACCCTCATTCTGCTGCTTGGAACTTTATAAATGAACTGTATGCATTATAAATGGGGAAACACACAGCCTGCACTGCAGCAGGACAGGTTTACTGTCTGCCCCGAACCCGGCGGGTAGCGTGACAACCAGCACACCTGCCCACGGCCCTGTCAGCTCCCGCATTCACGCTCCTTCCGGGGGCTGAACACTACGACCTTGCGGTGCCCCAGTGGTGCTGGTTTATTCCGAGCAAGGTGACAGGAACACATGGAAACTGCTGACGCCTTACCGGCGAGAAGCACGCTCCCGGCTCATGTTTAATCCCAAAATAATTAGTCTCAGACTTTGGCAAAGGATCACATTCATCATTCACACTTCGAAAAACCCACAAAATAATACAAAGAGCGTTAGCTGTTTTTTTACACTATGCATCACACTCCTCCTCTGCGTTAATATCCTATTATAAACACAGTCAGTGTTGAACAAAAAACTTGAATATAGAAGGCAGCTCTGACACTGCGAGTAAGAGGCCTGAATCACATTCTAGAGCTAATCACTGAGCTCCTATCCCCTTAAAAAGGGAACTGAGGGGCTTGCTTTTCCTGAATGTCCCTCCCAGCTCCTCCAGCCACCTTTTCCCATCTCTTAGCTCCACCCACCCTATCCCACGTTCATTTTGGCCAGACGAAAAGTGGCACGAAAGTCACTTGAATTATTTCCCCTCTCAAAGGATATGAGCACTTTAACAGCCCAGTTTTCAGTCACAGGATTCCTGCTACGACGTTTTAATGATGATGGCA